TATATTTTGTTTAAAATAAATATAATTGTTACTATCTATTACTTTTTGATTTTTCACACGAATGTCATTACTATAAAAAAATATTATTCATGAGCATATTTGTAAATTTTGAAAAATATTAACAAATTTAAATAGTTAATAATGTAATGATATTTATAAAAGAAATAAATCGAAAAATTTATATGTATAATTTTATTTATGTTATAATTTTTATTGATTTTGTTCTGAATATACAATATACAATCATATGCAAAAGCTAGACTGATTTTACATTTTATTTTTAATTTTTATTTTATTTTATATATATTATATTATATATATCTGGTATATATTAGTATGTTGTATGTGTATGTGTGCATATGTATATATGTATATATATGCATTTGTGTATGTATGTATGCATATATTTGTTTACAATTTTATTATTTATAAATGTTTTATTTTGTTTCTGTATTTCTTTGTATTTATATATAAAATATTTCATTCACAATTTGTCATATTTGCTGAATATCTAAATTCTGTTATTTTTAATGTACAGATAGAAATTATACTATGTGCATAATGCATATAAATATACTTTTTATAATATAAGTTGTAAAAAAACAATAAACTCATAGATTCAAATAAAGGAATTTCTCCTGCGCTTTTTTCAACGGGCCCATCCTTTATAAAACTTTATAATATATTTATAGATAGTAATTTATTATATTTCATAAATGAAACAATGCTAACAGCTTCCTCATAACTGGATATACTTTTTCTGATTGCCACTGATGGCCGGAGAAATTCTAGTAAATGGAAACACCATAACCTTGGAGTTCTCACGTCTTCCGATCCAGCTCCACTTCGCTTGCTTGAGCTGATGATCCGTAGCTCTCTAAGGAACTGAGATCTGATACTTTGTATTTTACTCTTCAATTCCATAAGAGTTAACACTGGGATGTCGGGTTTCATTAGCCCAAGCATCGCGTTGAATGCTTGCTCCCGCGCCACTCTGTCATGGTATTTGGGATTTTTTACTTCCCACAAGCATTCGTGCAGCTGGTACATGGTTATCAGCTTTTCAGTTACTTCTCTCTCCCAACAGAGTGCAATTCCACAAAAATTAGCAACAACAAAACAAAGTATTCGCTGTGAAATAAATAATATTAAATCGTTTTATAAAAAATTATAATTTTACTTACAAATTGCCACCAAAAAAAATTGCAACAATAAGAGAAAGTATAAGCTGTAAACTAAATAATATTTTATCGTTTTATAAAGTATTTTAATAATACTTATACAAAATTATACGTCAGCGCCAAACCGGAAATTGTAGAATTCGATTAATAATCGTGTAGCGGTATATAAAATAGGCTGTGTTACTTCTTGCCATTTTTTTCCAAAACATATTAGAATTGTAGTTATTTGCTCCTAAAAGGCGCAAATTTTGAAATTTATTACTAAACAACACTGTTTTGCCTTAGTACCGGGGCACAAATACGCCGGCTCTCATGCCGGAGTTTGAACAGCCATATTGTTTTTTCTCTCATTCTCAAATTTAAAATTTGCATTGAAAACAACAACAATTATACTCATACCGTGCCCGAGACACTCTGCATAACATGGTCCTAAGAGTAGTACATTTGTTTATTTTTATTTATATTTATAAAAGGTGTGTTTTTAAATGGAGTAGTTGTTTTGCATGTTCGTTTTATTTGGAGGCAGCTCCAAATATCTATTATGAAAAAAACAAAACAAAAATTCAAGATTTTATCTATGGCATCCCATGTTGTCTAGATGGCACCCCACATAGTCTCTGAGAATTTAAAAAACGGTCTCGAATAGTGCGCGCGAGATTGGTGTTAACAGGAATGATTACGGATCAAAAATTGGGATATAAAAGGAAAACAGTTCGCAGAAAATAAAATTTTTTTGTCGTCGGTGTTGGATCTACAAGCCGCAAAAATTATTGAAAAATTGTCGTGAAAAATATTCATACATATATAAAACTAGTTTTTTTTGAAAAATAAACATATAAAAATTAAATTATTGATAATCTTAAATAAAACAAGTGATTAAAACAATAAATATAATAAAATTATTTGGTTTAAACATTTTTAAATTTTAAATTCTCTTAAAATTCTTGAAGCCATTGATGCTATCATTTCTCTAAGGTATAATTTTTAATCTTTTTTTACTGCCCACACTGTAAAAAGATAAAAGTTTAAAATATATTTTTTGGATGCAGTAAAAAGAACTGTTTTTGTGGAAGTTTGTGAACCTTTTAAAGGACACTCGAATCACCTTTTGGATAGCGGTTTTCTTAGCAGTTGCCTTAATTTATTGACTATGTTATTCAAATATAGATGAATACAAAATAGTTATAACCGTTTTGCATATTCAATTCCGAAAAGAGAATAATTTCAGAAGTGAAGTGAACAACAACTCGTGTCACAGAAAAAAGTAACACTGAAGAAAAGCAACCCTGTTAGACAGGATGACAGCTGAAAAGGAGAGGCAGAAGAGGATGACGGATAAAGACACACAAAAGTGAAATGCTCGGTGATTTATAAAATATATATAATAATTATAAACAGTACGTATATTAGTAGTAATAAAAATAATAATTAAAAAACTAAAATCACAAGCATTACATGTTTTCACATTTTTTGTATTTGTTTAAAAAGCATTTTCTTCGCAAAGACGCCGTAGAAAAAGACAAAGAGTGTAGTATGTAACTAGAATAGATGGGCCGCAGAAACAATAATTCATCATCAGTGCCATCAAGATGTCAAGAGGGGACATAAATGCAAGATGTATTATAAGCTATAGAAGCTGTGCAGCAAACAGTAAATGCAGTTCAAGCTGACACGATTTGTAATCGGTAAGATATTAGCAATTTACGTAAACAACTTGCCAACGATAAATCGGTAACTCACGAAAAGAATGATGGCATATACATATAAGAAAGATCAAGATGATGAAAGGTGTACTGCTGAAGTTGTATGCCCAGAAAGCGAAGGCGTCCGACTTTATGATTTGCCAAAATTCAAAGGTAACGTCGAACAGTGACCACTTTTGCGTGCTGGTTTTGAGTACACCACCAAAACATTCACATATACCAACAGGCATAATTTAATGCAGCTACAGAAACGCGTAATGGATGAATCCAAAGAAGTCGTTCAGTCACTGCTAAGGTACCTGCAGTTATGGAAGAACTTGATTTTCGTTAAGGCTGCTCAGATTTTCTAGTAAGATCCTAGTTAGACAATTTGAGAGAGTGATCAAGAAAAATATTGATAATTTAATTGCCTTATCGTCTCTTGTGTGAAATGTCGTAGCCTTTTTGTCATCAGCCAAGTGTGAGCCACACTTGAACAACTCAACATTGTTAGAACATCTGGTGTATAAGTTGCCGCCTAGTAAACAATTTGAGCGGACGAGTCATGCTGCAACTCTGAAGGGATATCGCACAATAAGAGAATTTAGTGTTTGGTTTAGTGTTTAGTTTAGTGAAATCACGAAAATAATTTGTCTCTTGTCACAGCTATTGCCTCAACCAAAAACATAAAAAGGCCAAAATCACAATCTCAACTAGTCATAACTCAACTTTACGCACCGAATTATGCGTGCTCAAAACCATGAGAAAGAACAACAGAATCACCTGAGAGATTTGCGAAAAGGAAAAGATCCTGCGGTATGAATGATTGCCGTAAAAACCATAGTAAATTGCTACATGAGTTCCAACAAGTGCGGTCTACGTCTAAATCAGTTCAGCAGGTTTTACGTTGTGTCAGTCCATATTCCGACCTTCTCTTTAAATTGGTTCCGATAATAATTATGGTTCCAAACAGATAACTAAAGATTTTCGCGCTTGTGGATGAAGGGTCTTCAATCTTTATGTAGGATGCCAAAATTGCGACTCAGCTGGGTCTTAAAAGCAAGATCACTTAAAACTCAATAGTGCTGAATATCAACATAAAGGGTGAAGCAGGCGAACAATATGAGTTTAAAAAAGTTTACGTGATTCTCAATCTTAGTCTACCACTACAATCGTTTAAAAATCAGATTATAAGTATAACGATGTTCGCCCTTTAATGGTACTGAGCCTAAATTGCGCCAACATTAGTGCATCTTCTGCACTTGTAGCCGCTGGTGCATCTGATCCATTTGCTATTCGAACTATACTTGGATGGGTGGCATATATTCCAACAGGTTCAAGTGCTACCGTTAATTCGCCAATTTTGTTTGCCCGAGCAGAATCATCATTTAAATGTCTTGATCATACTGCTTAATACTGAGAATTATGGAATTGAAAATCCAACACGACCTTTGGAATCAGTCGATGACTCCCAATATTGCCTGATAACTGAGCCATGGTCGCCAAATCTTTGCAGGGAATTAAATTGAAATTGAGAAATAATGTCGAGTTCGTAGAAAGATATAAGGCCGAAATCAACAAATACATCGCCAAGGGTTACGCCAGCAAACTCACACAAGATGAAATCGAAGAATTCACAAAGCCAGTGTGGTGTCTGCAGCATTTTTCTATGCTAAATCCGCATAAGCCCGATAAGTTGAGAATTGTTTTCGGTGCCGCTACCACTGTTGGTAAACAATCTTTCAACTCAGTGTTGCTGCAGGGACCAGAAAAGACTAATCCATTAACGGAAATACTTTTTAAACTTCGTCAGGGACATATTGCAGTTACTGCAGACATAAGAGAAATGTTTTTTCAGGTTAAAATACGACAAGCCGATCAGAATGCCCAACGATTCTTATGGAGAAGCGGTTGCGAAATGGCACCGATCGAACAATATGCGTTGTTGCGCTGAATTTGCTAAGAACCATAACGCCGAAAGTTATCGCAGTCAATATCCGAAAACTGTGTCTGCCATAAATGAAAACTTTTACGTGGACGATTACGTTGCCAGTTTTGATACAGAAGAGCACGCTGTACAAATGTATCAACAAGTGGTGCAAACTAATGCAAACGCCGGTTTTGAACTTCGAAATTTTTATGGGCGCCAGTCAAGTTGCATTCGCTGCAGCCGCGTATCTTCGAATTGAACATCAATATGCTGGAACTGAAATAAACATAAACCGTATCGTATTTCGATAAACAATGACAACATATAGTTAAAAGGACCAACCTTTTTAACAAGAACCAATGGCCAATTGCATCATTTTCGTTTCATACTGACACGCCAGAAAAACAGATTACGACACTGATACTACTATAGTATCAAGTCAGTGAAGCCTTGACCGTTTCAGTTCCTTTTAAATGTTCTGTTGCTTGGTTTCTAAAAGCTATTCCAATATTCCGTAGAAAACGGGTTCAACTATCTATAGAAGGGTGTGATGATTTGAAGTCGCTGCCACCGTTATTTACTAGTGAAATCGATGAAGCCGAAAAATTTATAATGAGGCTGGTACAGGAGGACTGTTTTTCGAAGGAGAAGAGCTTACTGAAGCTTCAACAACTTCTTTCCAAAAAACATAAGCTATACAAATTAATGCCATACGTAAACAACGAAAAAATCATTCGTGCCAGTGGTCGCCTGAAAAAGCCACATATCTGGTTCTTGAAGCTCGAGGCCCTATTATATTGCTGAACCGTCATGTCGTCCCCGTACTAATAATGAAACACTGTAAACATCAAAATAATGATAACAGTCATTTATAGGAATAATGGATTACGGAGTTTTTGCTTCAACTATGTCGACGCCCTAAATGGTGTAAGGGTGCGCTGTTCGTAAGGGTTGAAGATAAAATGTCGCCCTTGAGGTCGCTGACCGTCCAGTCATAAGTTGGAAGGTCGGTGTTGCTTGCCTTAAGAAGTGTGAGTATTTTCTCAAGCGAGG